AAATATGTCTTCTGGGTGGTGAGTCTACCAGGTTGATTCTAATTTAAAGCTTCAAACACACTGTAGCATGGAGTTGTCATATGATAAACATGTGTATTATTATTGCTAGTAGCACTATACAATTAGTGCTCATTTCATCCGGCTTGACTTATGCCTTTGCGTGATAACATACCATTAACAAATATGAAGTCTGACTGTCCTGAATTTGGGCAAAAGTTCCTTTAATTTATAGCTAAGCTATAAATGGGGGTTTTTTGGTTCATATATGCACATAAGTCTTCTCTATCAGGAGTCTACATTTTTTAAGGACGCATACTGTGTTCTATCTTACTGTACACACAATAAAAATGTTTGCTTGTCTGATAAGAACAGCAGCTTTTGTCAATAATCTACACATTGACAGCACTGTTCCCAAAGGAACCAACTCAAATAGCGGTGCAACTTGTACATGGTTTGCATTACACATCAGTAGTTGTGTATTGCTTATTTCTTCACAAATCTGGTTCTTCTTAATTATTGTTTTTTTTAAGATTTTATTTATTTGACAGAGAGAGAGAGAGAGAAAGCACAAGCAGGGGGGAGTGGCAGGCCCCCTGCTGAGCAGGGAGCCTAATGAGGGACTTGATCCCAGGCCCCTGGGATCATGACCTGAGCCGAAGGCAGATGCTTAACCAACTGAGCCACCCAGGTGCCCCTCTTCTTAATCATTGTTATTCTACCTCAACAGAGCCCACCTGGTTGGAGAGAGTGTTCCTGAAGTGCTTGTCTAGGTGAAACTGACTGATGCACAAACTCATTCACTCAAGGTAATGACGCTGGGGGTGCCAACACTAATCTTTACATAGGAGGCTTCAAGGCAGTGCTACAGCCATACTCACATCATTAGCCTTGGCTGGCTAGACATGCACAGTTCAAAGGAACAGTTAAAGGGAGGGTAGAGACAGTTACAGAATCACAGAAGGGTGGGGCACAAAGCTATAACCACATACAATATGCCCAGCCATGTGTACCACTCAGACAACAGGTTAAACAATCATTATGACATCTGGAAAGCATCTTCGATTTATATCACCAAATATCAAGACAAAGAAGCCCTAATGGTACTGCTGCCTGACTCTCAGTACCACCCTACTGAAATGCTCCTTCATGTATGGGAGGGCTTGATTTGGAAGTACCTTTTCTCTTCTCTATATTTAGATGAAAGGTTGTAAATGGTCTGAATCCAGCTTATTATGGCTGCCTGAATCACCCTCGGTGCAGACCATTTCTGATTTATGAGCTTAGAGCTGATTATGTAATCTCTGGTCACATCTCTCTCTGTCTCTCTCTTTTTATTGCCCACATTTTGAACCACTGCTCATCATTACACCCTAGTCAGAGGTCAAGAGGAAGGGGGGGATTATAAATGAAGGTTTGGTGGTGATATAAAAAGAGAACTACTCATTCAAACGTTTTTATAGATTTTTATCACCTAAGTGATCCCATTACTCATCACCACAGATAATCACAATGTTCAGGTTTGCCTGGTGCCGTATCACCTCACTGAAACTGCGTAAAATCAAGCCTTGGACTAATTACCCTGCAGCACTCATTCTGACACCTGAACTCCATCTCGCACGTACACCTGACTATCCAGGCTTCTAACTCCGTTATCCACTTTCCCCTCCAAAGCCTCACCTCATCCCTGAATCTGAGACTCCAGAATCTCCTTCCCTACCGTTTAGATGTCTGCATGGTGACAAGCCATCAACTACACCAGGAAAATACTTCTCGCAGCTCCGCCCACACCTCAGCATCTCATGTCTCCGTGCTCCAGGTTCCAAACAGGTATCAGAAAGATGCAACACGTGTCCATCTGGAGGCTCCCATGGACTTGCAGCATAGTGCCTGACTTGAGATCCGTAAGCACTAGAGTTCTACTTACTCATCATCATTAGACATGAAACCAGCATTCCTATTTCATGTACTGTGACATTCAGAAGGCCCTTAACTTGGTAGACGTAAATGACCTTGCAGAATTAGCAACACTTCTGTGAATTAATCCTAATCTGCACAATTTTGGATGACTGTCTATTATATCCTCCAATGACATCTCTGAAGGGGCTTATGGATGTGTTCTAGTATGAGTCTGTTACCAGAGACAATGTTTCTCTCCCTGAGTCGAGGAGATAACAATTACATAGGCTCTTGTACTTTCCTTTTAATCATGTCTGCCAGGAAATCTTAGAACTAAGTCAAATGCTCAATCTCAGAAAACACGGCAGGCCGTGTAAGTACGATTACTTGCCACACTACCCTTTTGTGGCTTTTATTTTCTATTTTCATTTTATTAGTCATATTGTAAAGCTACCTTTTATTGTAAGCCACTTCAAAAACTTTGAAAAGGTGGGTTACTAGCATTATTTTTCAAAGTAAACTCGTCCCATAAACAATATTCAAAGTAAGCCTACATCTCAGGGAGCATCATATACAAAATGAACTTGTTGACCTAGAGAAAAGGAGAAAATTATGAATATAAAAGTTTTAAATTCAATACAATTATTTGGAATATGGAAATTATTTGAGTATTTAGATGTGGACCATGTCTAAGGCTGATAAGCTATACACATGTTCTATAATATGGAGAATTTTACAAAGACTTAAATTATAGTAACAGGATTGTTTAAACAAACAGAACTAGAAGTATCTTACAAACCAAAGTTTAAAATGCCAAAAGCCATCAAAAATGTTGTAGCGGGCCTACTTAAATTATTGCATAATTATCTTCTTTTAAAAGTTTTTATTTAAATTCCAGTATAGTTAGCAGCCAGTGTAATATCAGTTTCAAGTCTACAATACAATGATTCCACACTTCCATACATCACCCTGTGCTCATCACAAGTGTGCTCCTTATTCCCATCCCCCATTTCACCCATCCCCGCACCCACTGCCCCTCTGGTAACCAGCAGTTTGTTCTCTAGAGTTAAGAATCTGTTTCTTGGTTTGCCTCTCTCTCTCTCTTTTTTCCCCCCCTTGCTCATTTGTTTTGTTTCTTTTTTTGATTTTTTATTTAAATTTTACTTAGTAAACATACAGTGCAATATTGGTTTTTGGGGTAGAATTCAGTAATTCATCACTTACATATAACACCAAGTGCTCATCATAAAAAGTGCCCTCCTTAACCCCCATCACCCATCTACCCCTCTACCGCCCACCTCCCTCCATCAACCCTCAGTTTGTTCTCTATCATTAAGAGACTCTAATGGTTTATTTCCCTCTCTCCCTTTGTGTAATTACCTTATCTGTGATATATACTTTTTCTTCCACCTTTGCTGATTTACATTAGCTGTCTGGCTACAACTGGACTTGAATTCTTCAGTTCCAATGAAGCTTTACATAAGGAAACTGATTATAGCCGGGGAAATGCAGTATGTAAAACCAACCACTATTTGTTCTACATATAATTATCTTCTCTTTCAGTCTAGGACGCAGCCTTGGCTCTTATGCAACTGAACTCTGTATGGGTGTCATTTGATTTATAGCAGATGACCTGGCATCATACGAAAATAATTTACTGTGCCATGTGTCTCACACCCAGTAAATCAATAGCTTGAATACAGAGACGTCTCAATTAGATAGCACAAAGGTAGGGCGATCTACATCTTCCTCTCCTGTATCATTAAAAGGGCAAGCATTACAAAGCAGTGTTTGTTTTAGAGCTGCTTCAAAAGTGGTGGGGGAGGTCTATTATTTCAAGTTGGGAGACATAAAGTGAGAATTACCATCAAACCAAATGAAAAATCGAGCACAAGGTTGTATAAGTAATAGCCTGGGAGGGGTGGGACATGCATTTGTTTAAGTATTGATTGGTGCATTTCTACAGCACCTGTGTATTTACCATGGGCTCAGAGAGTGGAACAGGGTGTTAAATTATGACTCTGAATGCAGGGGGGTCATCCATCCTTTCTACCCTGTTCCTCCAAGAAGACTCTAAACCAAAGTCACAAGCATTCATGGTATTAGTCACAATGAGATAAATCATCTGGAGGCTCAACTTCGGTTTCTCCCTGTGGCATATCCAAAACTTAAGCTATCATTATAAAAGTTTCATAATGAGGAAGCCATATTATCCATCATTGATCTCATCTAAATCCCAATGGTAAATTAAACATAAGATCCACATAGACTGCTTAGAAAAATTTTAGGGCAACTTCTCAAACTTGATTTAGCCTGGGATAGCGTCATGAGGGAGAAAAAAAACAAATAAACAAAGAACCCAAAAATTAATCTCCTGATTTTTCAAATGGTGAAGGGAGATACAGAAATGAAAGTAAATCGTCCTTCCCAGAGTTCCCATATCTGGTCCCAGGACTGGAATAGCACAAGTTTGTGGGGTTTTTTTACATGGAACTAAATAGCTTGTAAATAATAGGCTGAACCTTCACCTGGCCCCACAGTAACTGTAACTGGAAGCTGAAAGATTCTGTGTGGGAATTAAATCTAAGAGCTACTTTTCAGAATGTTCCTTTCAAATTCAAGTTTGGTCTTTTTAAAGGAAAGAAACTCATTGATTTTGATTTTTTTTTTTTAACTATTGGTAAATGTTTCCTTTAAGTACTGAGTAAGAGCTTACTGAATGATTAGATTCACATTCTCTGTCTTCCTTAAAATAGAATTATGATGACCGGTAAAATTTCATCCTCCTGGCTGGCCTTTCACCGGACATCCCTATAGGCCACACAGACACCACATCTTCCCAGAAAAATCCCTTGGAAACCCATCAGGGAAGAAAAGACAACCAGATCCAATAAAGCCAAGACTATGCGAGGTTCAAATAGCAAGTTTCAACAAATTGGCCCACATGCCATATCAGGGCATGGCCAGAGGAGAAGGTCTAAGCTATAGGTAAATTAGCTCCTCAAATTCAACAAAAGCTTTCACAATGGAAATTCAAGCACAGGGGCTACTGGTGCAGGAAGAGATGCCCCTCCTGAAGCAAGAAACTCAGTTCAGAACGATACCTGGAGAATTGCTGTTGGAGGCCACGCATCTGAATTCTGTTGCACTCAGACTCCAGTGTCACCTCCTGCAACCGCTTCTCACTCTGAAGACGTAAGTGTCTCTCCTCTTCCAATTCATGCATCAGCTTCTCTTGCTATGAAACGCACAAAGGGAATGACTTTTAAGGTGGTGTTTCTTAATTACTATGAGAAAAAAATAATTAGTAATAGCTGTCAGTTACTAAGTGCTAACTTGGACTTTATATATAAGTTAATTTCATCCTCATTACAACCCCATGAAGTAGGTTCTATTATTAACCTCTTATTACAGACAAGAAAACTAAGGATCAGAAGCATCTGAGTAATTTGTCATAAAAACCAGAAGGTAACAGTTTTCAATCCTAGCTGATGTCTCTAATGCTTGAATAATTTTCACTAAATCAGGTGGCTTCTTGTGCAGATATGAAGGTCTATGACCCAGTAATACTACGAAATGTATTATAATTTGAGTAATGATGAGTAAGATCATTAGTGCCTGTTCAGAATTATTTCATCTCTTCAATCTCTGGTCTATGCTTTTATTTTTTTTTATTTTTTTATTTTTTTAAATTTTATTATGATATGTTAGTCACCATACAATACATCATTAGTTTTTGATGTGGTGATCCACGATCCATTGTTTTCGTATAACACCCAGTACTCCATGCAGTACGTGCCCTCAATACCCATCACCGGGCTAAACAATCCCCCTCCCCCCTCCCCTCTAAAACCCTGTTTGTCATGGTTCATCTCTCCCTCCAATTCCCCCCCACCCTCATTTTTCCCTTCCTTCTCCTAGTGTCCTCCATGCTATTCCTTATGTTCCACAAATAAGTGAAACCATATGATAATTGACTTTCTCTGCCTGACTTATTTCACTTAGCATAATCTCCTCCAGTCCCATCCATGTTGATGTAAAAGTTGGGTATTCATCCTTTCTGATGGCTGAGTGATATTCC